CAGTCCCACCTCCTCCGGCCAGAGACGCAGCAGTCCTGGTTCCCAGGAGTTTTGCCACAACGCTGGGCCTCTCCTGAGCCGTGCCTGTCCCAGCACTACCCTTCTGTCCTGGGAACCTCTCTGTCCTTTGGGGCTCAGGCTGGGTCTACCTCCTGTAGGAAAGGCCTAAAAGGGATAGTGTGTGTGTGCGTGCTGGTAATATAAAGAAGAAGAACTATGGTCTCTGGTGGGTGCCCTTGAATCCATTTAGACTTATAGCAGCCTCTCGTGACATCAGATGCCCCATCGGGTTTTCTAGGCTGTCGTGTTTATGGGAGGGGCCTGCTGGCATGCTTGGTTACCAGTCGGCCTTCTAACCACAGGTCAGCAGCTGGACACCACCGGCTACTCAGAGGGAGAAAGATGACGCTTTCTACTCCCATAAAGCTTTACAGTCTTAGAAACAGATCCACAGGGGCAGTTCTACTCTGTCCTAGAGGGTGGCCGTGAGTTGGAACTGACCGGAGGGCTGTGAGTTTGGCTTTTGTTGGGTTTTTAATCTGTAAGGGTAGCCTTTCGTATGAATTGCACGTCAACATAAAGCAAGCAAGCAGCACCACCGCTTAGCCAACACACCATGTCACGCTCCATGAGAGAAAGGCTGAACTTGTCAAGGATTTCATTTTACTGGGATCGCTCCCCATGGAAGCAGACGTCAGGGAACCAAGTGACCTTTCGCAGTGAGCAAATGTGCGGCAAAAGATCTCTTGCTTCTTCTTTTAAAATCATTTTATTGGGGGCCCGTACAGCTCTTATCACCACCACCCACACACACCCATGGTGTCGAGCACATCTGTACATTTGTTAACAAGCCAAGACGTCACGTGGAGGCTGACACACGCCTGACCTAAGCTCTGGTCTTTTCAACGCCCTCCTGGACGTGCAGAAGCTGGACAATGAATAAAGACGACCGGCGAAGAAGCGATGCTTTTGAATCATGGTGTGTGTGTGTGTGTGTGTGTGTGTGTGTGTGTGTGTGAATAAATGTTCACACACTGCCAGAAGAACAGACAAATCTGCCTGACAAGAAGGACAGCCACCACGTCTCTCGGAAGTGAGGATGGCGGCAAGATTCCATCTCACATACATACTTTGGACATGGGAGCAGGAGGGACCAGTTCCCTGGAGAAGGACATCATGCTCGGTGAGGTCGAGGGTCAGTGAAAAGAGAGGACTCACGCTGAGACGGACTGGCCCAGGACCAGCACCAATGGGCTCCCACGTGGTTCCAACGGTGGAGATGGCGTGGCGGCGTGATTCTGCTGTGTTGGGACCGACTTGGTGGCACCTAAACACGACGGCAGCTTTGATGGGGACAGGTGACCAGGTCTTTCTCCCATGGAGCCACTGGGTGGGTACCAATCACCAGCAATTGCTTGACCAGCTGCACCCGCTACAGTAACAAGACAAAGCAAAAAACTCCACCAAATCAAACACACCGCCGTGGGTCAGTTCTGACTCATAGTGACCCTATCAGACACAGTAGGAGTGGCCCTTAGGTTAAGGTGTCCAGATTTAAAGTGGGACACCATTGACCAGAGTGGGGTTCTTGATTAAAAATTTGGTCTATATGGATCAAATAGACCATTCCCACACACCCCCATGGTGTCGAGCACATCTGTACATTTGTTAACAAGCCAAGATGTCACACAGGGGCATCAGGGAGATCAAGGAGGATGTCACCTTTCTGTACGTTCCCTTTCAGCTCATGTCCAGACTGTAACTCTCTAAGGAGCAGAAAGCCTCATCTTTCTCCCAAGGAGCGGCATGTGGGTTTGAACTGCTGACCTGGAGGTTATCGGTCCAGTGTGTCACCACCAGGGATCTCTGAGAATGACTAGTACACACTAGCAATAAACACCAGCCATATTTGCCATGTGCCAGGCCCTGTTCTAAGCACTTCACGTATGTCAGTTCCTTTAATATTTCCACTGATCCCGTGAGGCAGGGCCTTCCGTTTCCACAAAGCACAGAGTGGCTAAGGAACTATCGTAAGGCCACCAGCTGATTGATGTGAGGAGGGAGATTATTTGAGTCCAGGCCGCTAGACATCAGGATGCCATCTAACCTCCTGTGAATGGAGCCCTCGATAGAGGCTCCCGAGGCTGGGTCAGGCCTTGGGTCCGCTTCAATGCCCACTGCCATCTTGGACTATGAATCAACACAGGCAGGCGCCAGCCCTCTGACATCTTTCTGGATCTGGCCAGCACAGGCTCAGTCCTCTGCCCCTCGGCCGAGTTGAAACCTCAGAAAGGAGAGTCCCGGGCAATCCGTCCACATCCCACAGGCCAGGGAGGCCAGCCTCTGCTCTGGGCATGAGCGGAAAGGGAACATACAGAAAGGTGACATCCTCCTTGATCTCCCTGATGCCCCTGTGCAGAGAGCGCAGACGCTAACACCCCCTTTACAGAGGAAGAGCTGAAGGCGCAGTGAGGAGACTACAGAGTTAGGCAGAGCTTGAATTTCAGTGTGAGCTTGTTCTGACCCGATGAGGCCAGAGTCCTGTCTCCTGGGTGGTGATCTGGGAGGACCCAGATGTCAGAAAGAGCCTGGAGCTTCAGGTCACCCCACCCTCTCTTCTAGCACTCCACGAGCCTCCACCCACCCATTCATCCATTGATTATTTGACCATTCGCTCATGTACCTTTCCATCCATCCATCCATCCATCCATCCATCCATCCATCCACCCATCTACCACCCATCCATCTCTCCACCCATTTATCCATTCAACCATCCATCCATCCACCATCCACCCATCTGTTCATCCAACCATCCATCCATCAATTATCCAAACATCTCCCAATCCATCCTTCCACTCACCCCTCCATGCACCCACCAACCATCCACTCATCACACGTCCAACAACTTACTCAAGTTCTCCACACACCCAATCTCCTGTCCACCACCTTCTCTCCTTGGAGCTACTGGTCCTCTCACCCATGACTCAAACATAGACTCGTCTATCCGCTCAGCCACCCATTTCTCCTTTCCACTCTCGACTCGTGTCTCTGTCTCTTTCTCCCTCCTTCCATTCACCCAACCCCACACCTGTTCTATTTAATTGATGGTTGTTGTGCCTTGGGCCAGGAGAAACATGCCCAATTAGGATTCTGTTTATGTGTGGTTCCAGGAAGGCTAATTGTGGGGTTTGTAAACAGCCCTTTGATGGCGGGGGAGTTACTGCGGAGGACAGTTAAATAAACAAGTGCTGGATGGAATGTGCCAGAGCGGAACACCGCGGGTCCAGAGTCCTGATCTTCTCGGAGGAGGGGCAGGAGCACTGAGTTCTGGACGTGGTGGTGTGCAGGCTCAGACTTGGAGCCAGGAAGTCGGAATGCTGGGAATGGTGACAATAGCCGGTCACACGTGTGGAGCACCTACGGAGCACCAGGTGGTGGGGAGCACAGGCTTGGCAGCAAAACCAGGTGATGGACACTATTATGACACTGTTGAAGGGTGGAGAGACTGAGGTCCAGAGAGGGGAAGTCATGTGCGCCAGGTCCCACAGTTAGGAAGTACACATCTAAGACCCTAATTTAGACCTGTGTGCAATCATGTTGCTGATAATGGCAAGTAATTACAGAGCGCTCAGTATGTGCCACAGTTCTAAGCACCTTCTTTGCCTGTATTAACTCACATCATGCTCACACAACTCTATGAAGTTGGTGCTGTAATCATCCCCATTTCAGAGATGAGAGCACTGAGGCTGAGAGGCATGAAGTATCTTGCTACGATTACTCAGCGAGGAAGCTGCAGGTCATTTGGTTTTTTGGGTTTTTTTGCTTATTAATTAGCTGTCCTTCACTGTGTTGTGCACCTCTCACACACAGCTTAGAAAGATCTAGCCATACACAGGTCAAAAGTTTTGGAAATCCATTTTTTCATCGATCTTATAGAATGCAAACGTTTTTCATGATAACTTGATCTTGTCCTTTGTATTGCTGTGTGGGTGCCGGCAAACATTTCCTGTGAAAGGCCCGGTCAGAGGTGTTTGTACCCTTGTGAGCCACATGGTCTCTGTCTCAGCTACCCAATTCTGCCAAGGCAGCAGAAAAGCGGCCGTACACAGCGCTTAAATGAAGGGATGTGGTCGTGTGTCAATAAAACTTTATTTACAAAAGCAAGTGGTGGGCCAGATTTGGCCCCAGGGCTGCCACTTGCTGACCTCTTGACTTTGCGCATTTGTCACCACACGCTTCTTCCCTCCTGGGAGGGACGGGAAGGAGTTTGTAGGATAAATTTATCCTGAGCTGAGTTTTACCCCCAGGTCTTTTGCTTACTACAAGCCCAGATACTTGGTTTTCCGCTTCTTCTCTTGTCCATTCTTGGCAACTTCTGGTGAAATTGGCAAATGCCTCGACTCCATCTGATTCAGTGGTTCTCCACCTTCCTAATGCCACGACCCTTTCATACAGTTCCTCATGTGGTGGTGACCCCCCCAACCATAACATTATTTTCATTGCTACTTCATCACTGTCCTTTTGCTACTGTTAGGAATTGGGCGACCCCTGTGAAAGGGTCGTTTGACCCCCAAAGGGGTCACGACCCACAGGTTGAGAACCACTGATCTAATTCCTTCCTTCACAATGCCAACGAATTGATGACGCTGGTGAGGGGTGCTCAGCTTGGCCGACCTCCCTTCCACGGTCAGGGAGGGTGCCGAGGGCCCTGGGAATGGGCTTCTTCCACACCAGCTTCTGTAAACGCCTCTCCCGAGAAAGAGACTCCAGTGAAAGTTGAGAAGTCGTGTGACTGGGGCCCCATTGGCGACAAGAACAAGGAAATGAAAGGATGACGCTGTAGGGATGTTGCAAAATGTACTCAGGGCTCATTGGGAACAAAGCAGGGCAAGGCCAGAAACATCCCCTTTGCTCTCCAGTCCCCCCACCCCCCCCACACACACCTATTTCCCGCCCTCAGACAGGTGGCAAGCCCGGGGTGGGGGTGGGGTGGGGGAGCCCTGGGCTTCACTCGCAGGGGCAACAATGGGCTGAGGGTTGCAGAAGAAATGTCGGTGAGGGTCCGTTCATGCCCACGATTCAGAAAGCGTCTGCGGAGAACATTTGGGATAAAGAAAACAGCCTGTTAGAATAGTGGGTGGCCGGTGGAAAGAGACAATGGGCAAAAACAAGACCAGGGTGCAGGTCAACCAGGGTGCTGCCCAACCCTGTTAGCCATCAGGCAGCTGGAGCCAACACGGGATCACAGGCTCCACTCCGCGGGTTGACAGCACTGATTGGCAAGGATAGAAACTGGTCTTGGTTGGCAAAGGCCACCCCTTACAAGACCACCCACAGGTGGCTTTAAATGACAAAGATGCATTTTCTCACCGTTTCGGATGATAGAAGTCCGAATGCACGGCCTCTAGGGGAGGTTCCTCTTTCTCTCCTTCAGCCATCTTTGGGGCTCCTTTGCTGCTTCTAGCAGTTTCTACCTCTGGTGTCACACGGCATCTGTCTCCCCCTGTGTGTCTGTCTTTCCATGTCTGTTTTCCATTAAAAAGCAAACAAACAAAAACAGCTTTATTGGTATGGAATTCACATATCATACAATTCAACAGTTCAATCACATCAAGAGGAGATGTACGAGCATTACCATCATTAGGTTTAGAACATTTTCTACATTCTTGTACCCAACCTCCCCTGCCACACCCCCAAGAGATCATTAATCCACTTATGTTATGGTCTCCATATGTTTTCCCTTTTTATAGGAAGCCACTCAGAAGGGATTAGGTTTAGGCCCCATTCACCTCTGGTTTGATCTCATTACCATGACAAAAGAAAGCCGGTGTTTCCAAACAAGGTCATATTTGTAGCCA